CGAATGGTAAAAAGAACAAACCTTTAAAAAAAAATTAGTTTATCCTTACACTAGCACAGCATACTTTTGCAAAAATTAGAATTTTGGATATAGAAACAGAGGGGAAAAAGGGAGAAGAAAAAGGAGAGTGAAAGAAAGGATGGAGGAAAGGAGAAAAAAGTTGACCTATTAAGTAAAGCAGATAGTATAATCTGCAATTTGTCTAGATTAACGATTATCAATAAATTATGCAAGGAATAGCTGGGCACAACTAGGAGCTAACCTAGTTATAGACTGGAGAGTTTTAGTTTTCAACAGTGAGATACATGAAAGCTATTAATACAGTTGTAATATAATAAAGCTATTTCAGGAAAATTGAACTAAGTACACTGAAATATACTTAACTAGGGAAGAAATAGAGTATGGTAAAACATGAGATCTTCACAAATTGAGACATGAGGTGATGAAAGCCTAGATTAGGGTGATGACTGAAGAAACAGAAGGATTCAATTTCAAGTCATTTTGCAAGAACATAGTATGGTTTGCTGGCCAACTAAATACAAAAATAAAAGAGCGAAAAAAGATGAAATAAAGAGGAATACCACACCCTCCCAGCACAGAGTAGGTCTAAAACAATACTTGTAAAGGTAAAAGGTGATTCCGAAGTCCTAAGTCTAAAAGATAAACATTAAAATATAGCAAAACAAAACTCCAATACTGTTTCTATGTGGTTCTTTTTATTACATTTCCAGCTGACTTAACACATTTTTGGCTCAATTCATTTGAAATCTTACACATATTTTTCACTATTTGGTAGATGTTGCTTGAACTGCATATTATCACATATAGAAGCTACATGAAAATTAATCTTTTTCTAACAACTGTTCTTATGCCACTACCTTACTTTCAAAACTACTCCTTCCCCCGTACCCACCTCTATTTAATGGTCATTAAACAAATTAGAAAATGAGGACAACTAACATGACTACGCTTGTGGTTTAGAAAGACACCCTGATCATGGTTAGTGGTACACTACTGAATCCTACCTCTATGAAGGAGGCAGAGGCAGGAGAATTGGTGATTTGAAAATTTGAGGTCTGTGCTATACAGTGAGGCTTTAAACAGAGAGAGGGAGAAAGAAAGGGAATAGGAAAAAACAGATCATTCTAGAAACATCCTGGAGACCTTGTTAAATAAATCAATTAACAACTGTATAATACAGACAGGGGAGAAAGGAGGATAGAGAGATGCATGTTTTTTGAGAGACATGTAGGAAGCACCGGCAGAATTTCAAATCATCTGAAGAGGGATGCTGGAGATGAAATCAATACTGACACCAAGGATCTCAGCTTAGAAGATTTGGCACATGATGAAGCCAAGTTAAAATTAAAAGAGAAAGAGAGAGAGAGAGAGAGAGAGAGGGAGGGAGGGAGGGAGGGAGGGAGGGAGGGAGGGAGGGAGGGNGAGGGAGGGAGGGAGAGAGAGAGAGAAATAGTTTTTGTGAGAAAAGACATTGAGTTCTGTTGGGCTACAACCCGCATAAATAACAAAGCCAAAATAAATAAAAATAAATCATACTAAATGGTCTCTGATTCCTCTAGAGTCTTCCATTCTAAACAGTAAATATTATCCAAGGATTTCATCATATTTTAAAATTAAATTATATTACTCATTGGCTTCAGTACTCAAACGAACTGTACCACAGTGGAAAGTTAACTAACACTCTCTGTCCAGCTTCTCTATCTAAAAGAGTCTCCTTTTCAGAATTTAAACTGACCATTTACCCTAGATAATTTACAATAAGAATAAACTTTTTATGTGAAAATGCACAAAGTGTGCCTCAATTTATATATGAGTGTAATTCAAGCTTATTTCAAAGATCTCAACAAAAAGAAAAGTTGAGACCATCCCCTTTTCATAAAAATGACACCTAACATGTAAAACCATTTCTAGTTTAAACTACAGCTTAAAGTTTTTAAAAAAAATCTAGCCTGGTTACCATGGCACACATCTTTAATCCCAGCATTCAGAAGGCAGAGGCAAGCAGATTTCTGTTGAGTTCAAGGCCAGTCTGGTCTACAGAGTCTAGGATAGCCAGGGCTGTTACACAAAGAAATATTATTGTCTTGAAAAAAAAAAAAAAAGCTTTAAAAATGGGTAACGACCTAATAAAGCCTTCTCTTGACTTCACTGGTCCTGTGAACTACTTCCCATTTCTCTCATTGAAAAATTGCTTGCACTCACCATTTTCTTCTATTTGTTCTTTAAACACCTTTAATCAAGGTTTTGGTCCAGCTGCTCCTTCAAATTTGCTCTCGCTACTTCAAAACGGTGATATCAATGCCCACTCTTCAGTTCTTGATCACCAGCATCACTTGACAGAGATGTTCACTCATCCTCCTGAGACTACTTGGTTCACATGTTTTCCAGCAAACCATGTTTTCTTCCTTTCCAGTCTCATCTTCTGTCTTCTCCTCTTTTCCTAACTCTTTAATTTAAGTGCCTCAGGAACTAGATCTTAGTTACTCCCATAATTACGCACACTACTTTAAGTAGTCTCTATCTGACAAGAAATCAAATTGATTTTACTTTAAAATTATGTACTGAAGGGCTAAAATAAAGAGAAGATGACTCAGCCAGTAAAGCCCTTATTGTGCAAGCATTAGGATCTGAATCCAGATCCTCTGTATCCACATAAAAAACGGGTTCAGTAAAGGATCTGAGTTTAAGTTCCTAGTACCCATGTAAAATTCCAGTATGGTGGTGTGCACCTGTAAACCCAAGGCTTGGGTAGTGGATCTTTGGGGCTGGCTGACCAGCCAGCATAGCTGAACAGCAAGTTCCAGGTTCAGTAAGACCATGCATGCTTCAAATTTAAAAAGGTGTAGAGTGACTAAAGAAGACACTTGATGTCAATCTGTGTCTCCACATTTACACAAGTGCAACAAAGATAGTCTCACACACACACACACACCCCAATGACTCCCTATATTACTGTACATTCTAACCAGAGCTGACAATAACTACTTCAAAACCCTCTAACCAGATTTTGGTTACAATCTATTTTGAAAACAGCAGTGTGTCTCAGTGATGATTTGAATACGATGACCCAGGCACTCGTCTGTTTGAGTCTATTTTATGTGTATGGGTGTTCTGCCTGCACAAAAGTCTGTACATCACATACGTGACTGGTGTCCATGGAAGCCAGAGAGGGTGTCAGATTACCTAGAACTGGAGTTACACAGTCCAGCTGTCATGTGGGTGCTAGGAATTGAACTTGGGTCCTCTGAGAGAGCAGCCAATGGTCTTACCCACTGAATTATCTCAACAGCCCCGTGCTTAATTCTTAATGAGAATGACTACTGAAAACTGAGTAGCAGCTAAAGTATCTACAATAGATACAAAGTCCCTAAATCTGGTCCTCATTCCTTCTCCCGTTTACCTTTCTGACTGCCTCTCTTATTAGTCTTTCTCTTTGCTCCCTCTTGTTCCCCTCGTGCTTTCTTCTCTCCAATCATGGTGGCCTCTTTGCTAATCCTTAGACATACCAAGAACTCTGTGGCCTCAAGGACTCTCTGTATTTATTCTTTTCTATCTCCTGATAATCCTCTTTTCTCCATATATATAGACCCATGCAGTGAGGTTTTCTTTGACCATTTGTCTTTCACGCTATCCCTCCATCCTTCATGCAAAGAAGCAGAAAAATATGAGCAAAACAGAGGAGAACAGTAGCCAATCAAAGCTGATCCAGAGCTGAACAGACATACTGGACATTAGCAGACATGGACAGTAAAAATTTATTGTATCTCAGATGTTCAAAAGCCAAGTAAAGACATAAGCCCCCTGATACACATGCAAAGGGTTCAAATCAGAGTGTAATCTATTCATTGTCTGAGGTGAAAAATACATTTAACTATGAAAAACATATTAGATATTACAGAATAAAAGACTAGTGAGCTTGAAGACACAGAAGAGTAACTACTTAAAATAAACATAGGAAAAGGAAATTCTTTAAAAAGACTAGGCAAGACTGGACTAGACTCTTAAAGAGAGGAGAAACAGGTGGGACAAAAATAAGTAAAGAAAACAATGGCTGAAGAATTTCTAAATTCAATAAAAACACTGTATTTACAAGTCCAAACAACTTGTGAACGCTAATCTAAAGAATCTTGAAGAAAACCACACAAAATAATCAAATTATTAGAATTGGTGAAAATTGCCTCCAGTTCAATCCTCCATACTAGAAAAGGATAAAGACTATTTTAGCTATACAAAAATGGAAGGATTTCATCACCTGCACTACAAAAAATACTAATAGCATCCTTCAGGCCAAAGGAAAATGACTCTACATGAAACTAAGTACCCACCCAAAGAAACAAAGGTGTAAATATTCACGTATACAGAGAAATGTAAAAGTGGTGTCTTCTGATCCAAGCACAATATGATAAAACCATAATGTTCAGGCAGGGCAAAGCAGGAGTCTATTATCTTAAAATTCTTACACTAGGTTTCAGGGGCAAATGTTACTTCAGGGTAGATTTGTACATGAATGTCCATAGCAACCTATATATCATAGCCCAAACTGAAAGCAGTCAAATGCCTGAAAGAAACCCACTGAAGCTGAGGTCTTACAGCTACAGGGAGTACCTGACTTAAGCATAAAAGCCATAAGATCACACGCAGGCCACCAATGAATCCCCTCAAAGCTAAGCCATAGCAGGAATCAATAAACAAAATGGTAAAAAGTAAAAAGAAATAAAATGTCTCTTATCAGATGACAAGTTTCTCCTTTTCTTTTACTATCTACTCTCTAATGCAAATAAGAAAATTAAAAAGCATTTTTAAAATCATATATGTAAGAAAATAAGTTATATTCCATATTTTAAATTACCTAGAATTTAATAGTAAAGACTTAAAATATTGTTAATTCTTAACCAGAAAAATTAATATGAAGTAGCTCATTCATGCAGACTAGTGACTTCTGTAAGTTACAAAAAAATAAAAATAAAGAAAAAACTTACCAAAAATTTCTCCATTTTTGGCATACTCTGTCACAAGGTACAACATACTTTTGGTCTCCATTACCTATTGATAAATGGTCCTATATTAATCAGACAGAAAGGATTACTTTACCACATTCTATAGGGTTACATAAGTAAGTTATGAACTATTCAGAAGTCAGAAGTATTTACAAGCCTCATATCCTCAACCCATCATTCCTGTGACTATTAGATTCTTGTTCTAAATCTGGATCCACAGCCCAGCTAGAAATGCAGAATTTCAAGTCTGATTCCAATACTGCAGAATTAGAATCGAATATATATATATTAAAAAAGTGATTCCTATGTATTCCTATTCAAGTTAAAGAGGTGAACACAGGCTAAAGAAGTTCTGAAGATCTTTCCATCAACTCTTCACTTGAGGCTGTGAGTGCTATGTTATCAAGGCTGTTTAACTGAGCTAGCACAATGTGGTATCTATATTCTTTCCTACTGTGCTTTGGTTAATATTGTTACAAGGTACTTATTTTAAAGTATTGCTTGCAAGCTGCTTCTTCATAGCTCTACTGCTTTATATTTTCATTTAAATTAGCTTTTCTAGGTTCAGAAAGAAAGTGTATCATTGTTACCAATTTGATTTTTCTACTATATGAACAACACTACTCAGACTCAAGATAAGCATTTTTAAACTATTTTTCTGTATACCTTGTGTGTGGGGGGGGGCTTATGTGCATGTATGTGTGGGTCATTGTATGTTTATGTGTGTTATGTGAACATGTGTATAAGTGTGTGGAAGGTAGAGGTCAGCTTCTGGTTTTCCTCAGCTAGGCTGACTCGCCCTGCAAGCCCCAGGGATCCATGTTTACATCTCCCTTCACTGGGATCTTGAGTGTGTACGACCACTATTCTTGTCATTTTTACATGGGTTTTGGAGATCAAATTAAGTCTCTAGTTTTATGTAGGTTCTGGGGACCAAAGTGAGGTCATCTAGCATGCATGCCAAATACCTTCTCAAAGCCCTTTAACACCCTTTTAATCGTCGTCTACTGAAACTAATTTTCACTAACACACAGGCTTAGGACTGTGCTTCATCAGATAAGTAAATAAGTATGGTAGTAAAGAAATAAGAGCTGTTGACAATTTGGAATTTAAAAAAATTAGGCAGTAACTTGACTTTACAAATACATGATACATGTATTTGTATCATGTGACTTATGGGAATCAGTTTAGGACATGGCTCATCAATCCTCTAAAATGATTATAGACCTATCTCCTTCAGAAATGTAAAACAAATGCTTATAGGGAAAATCTGATGCAAATTTGACTTAAATCTGTATAGTTTTAGAATTTTAGAAAATATTTTGAGCGGTACAATATACATATTATTGCATGTATGGGAGGATTATCATAAGCTGATGGTTTCCAACTTTTTAAGTTGAAATTTTCAATCAATAAGATTATTTACAAGTATATATGTACACATGTACATATATGTATAAATATATAGAATATCTATCTATCTATCTATCTATCTATCTATCTATCTATCTATCTATCTATCTAACAATTTATGTATGTGTACCCCAGTATAAAATGCACTCAAGGACATAATAAATAAAACTAGAAGCTTTAATATTGTCTTACAATCCCAAGGATATTTAGGTAGCCCACCTGAGAATAGCAGTGTAAAAGCAAACTGAACCTCTGAGAAAAGGGCTCTGAGTTTTTTGTTCCTATGATATAAATATGTGTGAGTTTGGGCTACTAATGTGAAGCTTATCTGCTCACAAAATTTCTGAAAACTTATCAGTTGATCTTAAAAACTTGGACAGATTAAGTCCAGCATACCATGGGTACAACTATCACAGGGCATCAAAGTCACAGGTCAGTAGACTGGGACCTTTCAGTTTCAATTTAAAGGTATGGTACATTAATTAACAGAAACTTTAAAAAATATTTTATTGATTATTAAACATGAATTACTGCTCTTAAAAAATCTAAGAAAACATTCTTTTTAAAAACACATGGCATAAATTTATATGCAATTTACTTAAAAAATTTTCTTAATAAAACTGATTTTTAAAAATGGTTTATTTTGGCCGGGTGGTGGTGGCGCACGCCTTTAATCCCAGCACTCGGGAGGCAGAGGCAGGCGGATCTCTGTGAGTTCGAGGCCAGCCTGGTCTACAAGAGCTAGTTCCAGGACAGGCTCCAAAGCCACAGAGAAACCCTGTCTCAAAAAAACCAAAAAAAAAAAAAAAAAAAAAAAAAGGTTTATTTTTATGACTCATAAGAAGAACAAAAGATATGAATCTACATATTACAAAGTTTGTCTCTAAGATATATACTATGTTAGCCTTTGTATTTTATAACACATAAACAATAGCTTTCTAAATAAAAGTATGACATTTTTATTTGTGGTACCAACACCTTTGCAAATCTAGCAAGTTCAGGTACAATTGCCCATTTTTAAAATGCAGGTAATCTAAAGACAACTTAAGGTTAAATATTAAGTAGCTTCCTAGTTCCATTTTTTTACAAATTTAAATATATAGAAAGAGTTAACGTTTAGCTTAAGAAAACATTTCTTTTACAGACTAGAAAAGCTAGCATAAAAGCAAAAATCACAATGAAAACAAACAGTTGAATGTGGAAAATCACAAAGAGAAATAAGGCTAAGTCATACCTGATAAAGTTTGATTATGTGAGGATGGTCGAGCATTTTCATTATTTGTACTTCTCGGTAGATTTTCTCAAGGTTTACTGCATCCAGCTGAGATTTATCTATTATTTTTATAGCCACCTATAGTCCAAAACACACATAAATACAATTAGTATGTAACTGTTAACATTTTCCAGTAAAGACTTAGTAAACGCTATCTGAGATGAGATGTCACTGTAGGTGTCTGTGACACTGACAGCTAACTCAATTAATTCAATGATCATTTGTTTATTTATGCAACACATGTTTCTTAAGCTTCTATTATTTACAATGCACAATAAGTTTTTGTCTGGCAGAGTCTTTAGTGTGCTATGGAAAACAACTTTTCAAAGTTACTTTAAACTGAAAAAGTCTTAGCACTTTTCAACCAATGGTCTCACTGTAAATTACCTATGGACTAAGTATCTGCCAAGTGGGAAGCAGCTGCGATGGCAGTTTCTAGGAAAGTGACAGGATCCAAGGAATATACAGGTAGACTTTTCTCCGCTCTCTGAAAGCCTTTTAAAATTTTTACTAATTTTTCCATACAATATATTTTGATTATATTCTTTACCCTGTTACAACTCCTACCAGATCCTCCCCACAGAGGTACAGTTTTGAAAAAGAAAAACCTGAAATGTAAAATCTTAAAACTAATCTATGTGAGGTAACATCTATTGAATTAAAAATTATTAACAAACTGTTATGACAAATGGCTCTGTCATAACTAAATAGGAATCCAAAGAAGGTGATTTTGAAGGTGAATGATTAGGTATTCAGAAACAATTGTGGTTTTTTTTTTCCCCCATGTAACTAAAAAGGACTTTTAGAAAGTCACAGATTTGGAAAAAGGTAATCTGATTTTAAAAAGGTATTTGGTAATTGGAAATTCCCCATTTTTAATTCTAGTAAAAGTTCTAAAGGAAGTCTAAAGTGCACTTCACATTCTAGCCAAGAGAATTCCAAACACTGCGTAGTCTAGGTTGATAGTCTGTGTTTACTATGAGAAGAAGCAAGTGAACCTCCTCTAACCCACATTATTTAAAGAGAGCCCATTCTTACTAAGTATGACAGAACAAGTATTATCACTTATTTTGGGTAACTTTCATAAAAACTGCCATATAAAAGGCAAGGGAATGTTGGACTTTCAACTTTCTTTAGGAAGGTAACAGTTTCACAGACATCATGTTTCGGTGAAATGTCTTCTACTACGGTTTCCAAATCTTTCTCACCAACAAGAAGCTTCTATTGTGAGATGGGTCAAAACCATATAACAGAATTTAAGAGAAAGGAATCACATTAAAAATAGCATAATTATTAAGAAATTTTGTATATATCTTTTTCTTAAGCTTTAATTTTTAAAATGTATACATGTGTACCATGTAAATGCAGGTGCCTGCAGAGGTCAGAAGTCACTGGATCTCCTGGAAGTGTAGTTGTACACCATTATTCCTTATGTATGACACCTGCAGGATGATTACACTTCTCTTAAAAAAAAAAAAAGGCAAGTGTCCCCATGATCCTTGTAGCAGGGACAGTCTAACCCCTTTAACAGACTCAGCTATAATGATTCAAGCACAACAGAAGTTTATGTCTTGCTCATATAGCAGGCTCAGATGGGCGGTGGTGTGAGAAGTCCTTCTGTATATGTGTTGCTTTTATTGGTTAATGAATAAAGAAGCTGCTTTTGGCCAATGGCTTAACAGAATATAGCCAGGCTGGAAAAGATTTATAGAGAGAGTAGGCAGAGTCAGGGAGAAGCCATGTAGCTCCCAAAGGAGATAGATATCTCCGCTGGAGCCTCCTGAAACTTTGTCAGTAGACCATGACCTCATGGTGATGCACAGATTAACGGAGATGGGTTAGTGTAGGATATAAGAACTAGCTAGAAATACGCTTAAGCTAGTGGCCAAGCAGTATCACAAATAATATAGTTTCTGTGTGACTATTTCAGGTCGGAGTGGCTGGGAATGAATGAATATCTTCCCCCAACAAACAGGAATATATGGTTCAAAAAGGCTTCCCCATGGTTAAGGTATGGCTTCCAAGTTTGCTCTGCTAAAAGGCCCTCCTGGGAGATTTTGGTAGCAGGCCTCACTCATTCACATACCCAGCCCTAAATGTATGAGAGGTACAGAAACAGCTTAGTTAACGCCCAGACATAAGAGTGGAGCTTTTGATCCACAAGGATCTCTGCTGAGCCTGATGGAGCTCTTTGCCAAGAACTTCTCAGAAATGCAGTAATAATGACAGTGGCTTTGCCAACTGCATAACACTTCTTAATTTTACAAGATACTTAAATGTATTTTATCTAATTTATCTTTCAATTCTGTCAAATAAATGAAAGAAGCAGAACAAATAGGAGCTGATGAAACAGATTCAAAAGGCATTACATATTAGCATGTATGAGGCCCTCTGTCCAAATTCCAAAACCTTTATTGGCTCTGCCCCCCAAAAGAAAAAAGTCACATAATCTGCACATGTTGTAGAGCTCTAGCAAATTAAGGTCGAGGAGGGGACAGACAGAAACAACATCAGGTCTTCCACTCCAAATTCAGTCTCCTCTCTAAAAGTTCACTCATCACACATTCAGGGACGTGTTGACGTCCAAACACTCCCTAGGATACAGAAACAAATCAGATGGGATTCCTATGCTCAAGGAATGATCATGTCTGTGAGACTGAGGTGAATAAAACTGATTAAACAACAACAACAACAACAACAAACTTTGGAATTTCTCAAAGCATACTGAAAGTCTCCAACTTAGAAAACACTTTATTCAAAGGTACTAGCTTCTCTGCATACCATCATAGTTCTACACTTGAGACAAATTTGCATGAGCAAGAGAAAAATCAGAATATCAAAAAGATTCTGTTAATTTTTTTTTAACTGAATCATTTAACTCTAAAGATTAGAGTTAACTCTTTATTAAACACACAGTCTTTTAAAAACAAACTGGGTTTAAGGTAATAAAAGTAATATTCCTTCTGCTAAGGAGCAAAAGCAAGGTTTCCTCTCTAATGTAAGAGGACATACATGAGAAATCAGAAAGATTGCTATCACTCTAAACCCTCTATAAAGCAGCTGACTAATCAACCATAGAAATACTCAGGAAACTGAATTTAAAACAAAAACTACCATTTTCCCTTTTATATTAGCGAAGATTGAAAAGCAGGTGCCCACGTGAACTGAGTTTTGGTGCGATAGCCATTTTTGAAGAAATATGGTATGAATATAAATACATTATAAATATACATTATAACTTTCTCAGGAAGCAATTCAACAGTCTTTATAAAGGACTTTAAAAACCATGTATTCCACTATGCCTGAGGACTTTGGTGCTGAAAAAGAACTCAATTGAAATAATCTGAATTAATGATAAGGACTTCTGTGTAAATAAAATTAAATGTATCACTTAAGAACAAAAATACAAACAGTTGAAAATAATTATGTGAACTGAGGATTTTTAAGACTATAAAAGAAGTGATTCAAAATAACTTCCCACTTTAAAATAGTTCAACAACTCTAAAACAAAACACAAGGCAATTAAAAGAGAGCCAAAAGACAAAAAAAGCAGTTTACAAGAGAAATGCAAATAGCCATCACATAATACTACAATCAAAGTAATCAGAGAAATACAAATCAAAAAAGCAAAGAAATTGCAACCAATTTTGTCTATTGGAAAATAAAAGTAAAAAAGACTCCCAAAGAGTGGTCTTCCTTAGAGTGTTTCCTAACGGTAATTGGTGGGCCCTACTTTTGTAGAAGGTACTGTGGCACCTCAGGCCCTACTGCAGGCTCTGGATGGACTCTTCCATCTGGAATTCCACTGAGATAGAACTGCTCTGAGGAAACAAACAGATATGCAAATGTATGCAAAAGAATATTCTCTGGAACACGTAGAGTGCTGCAATGGAGAAAAATGAACTCTATTTTCAGTGATAGCGAATCAGTTAAATAAAATATGGTCAGTGACATGTAAGATGCCTCCTAATGCTGCCCCAGACCAGAGATTCTCAACCTGTAGGTCACGACCCCTTGGGGGTTGAAGGCCCCTTTCACAGGGGTTGCATATCACGTATCCTGCACATTAGATATTTACATTACAATCATAACAGTAGCAAAATTACAGTTATGAAGTAGAAATAAAAATAATTTTATGGCTGAGTCACCACAACATGAGGAGCTATAGTAAAGGGGTCACAGCATTAGGGAGGCTGAGAATCATTGCCTTAAACAGTGTGTTTTTTCAAGAGTTGGAGATATTAATAAAAAGTGAACTAAAAAGCTCAGGTTTTACATACAGTGGACCCTACTTTACTGCAGACATACAATACAAGTGAATTAAGAGGGTCTGATCCATCTCCTGAGTTGTGAGAGTAGAAGTGAGAACGTTTAGTTTCTCCTCCAGGCTTTTCCACAATGACTATAATAAGCAGGCCTAACTTCTGTAACTGGGCAGAACCATGTGGACACTGTTTACTTTTTTATTTTTATGTTTTTATATGCATTGGTGTTTGAGGGAGTCAGATACACTGGAACTTGAGTTACAGACAGTTGTGAGCTGCCATGTGGGTGCTGGGAACTGAACCCAGGTCCTCTGGACTAGAGGAAGAACAGTCAGTGCTCTTAACTGCTGAGCCATCTCTCCAGCCTGGATAGTGTTTACTTTTAAGAACTTAAAACATAGTAGGATTGTCCCTAGTTTAATTTACTAAAGATGCATCTCTTAATCTGTCTAAAGAACTTTAAATTTTTTAAAATGAAAAGTTTCTGGTGAAATTTTACTTTGTCTTCCAATATTTTAACTATCGTAACTGGATATGAAGGATAGAAAATATTTTATATGAATATTTAAATGAAAAATGTTTACAGAAATCTCTTACTTAAAAAATGTAGGAGGACAGAAAGGTAAAAGGTCTATTAAAAGGAAAAAGAGGTATCATAAGGAATTCTGTAACCCATCTGATGCCACGGAAACTGTAATCAGTGGGCCATAAATCAAATGTCATCATGTGAATTCAAGGAGGCCAGTTTCATGATTTCCAAATAAATGTTTTCTTAATTCCTTGGTGCCAAGATAGAATTCCTTAGAGGACTTAAAAGCAGAACACGCTAAACTCTGGTAAAGTTAAATATTTCTACAGAACAGAGAAATTACACAACTCAGGGCCAGTTCAGTGGGTAAAGGCGCTTGCTACATAAGCCCAATGACCTGAGTTCAAGTCCAAGGACCCAGGTGAAAGCTGAAGGAGAGAACTGAATCTACAAACTTGCCCTTTGGTTTCCACGTGTGTGCTACAGTGCCATAGCATGCACGTGTCCCTCTCCACATCACACACACACACACACACGCACACACTAAATTAAAAATTTAAAATTTACACAGATGTATATGTTTTCCATTCCCTGAAAGAAGAGATGATTTTAATAATATTTGGCAAAACAATCTGCCAAATATTACCTGTCTGAGGGCCAAGAAACTAGAGAATAGTACAATGACAAATCAGAGTCCTATTTGAATATACAAGAGGAGATCATACACAAGCATAGATTCAAATATCAGTGGGTAAGACATTTGGCCACAGGTCTTCCTATTGCACATAGTACAGCTACTTCTTGAAATCTGGGGTATTTCTGCAGCACAAGAAATACTGAAAAAGAGCTGTAGAATGCCAAGCAAAATTTAAAATGCAACTGAAATTCTACACTTTATGGTGGTGCTCTGAGAAGTAAGCCTGAACATCCCAGCCACAGCATGCACACAGAAAACTTTTCAGCACACAAAAGCAGCTTCATACAGCCTGTCAGTCCCTCTGAGTCCAGGTGCTCTCAGGGTGATAAGCAGTCTAACCTCTACAGGCCATGAATAAGGTCACTTTCCGAACTTCTCCACAGTTTCTGTACACTTCCCTTCATAGGACTCTGAAGGTAAGCAACACAAAAAGTATGGTATTGAGGAAATGTCACGTTATCTGCATAGAGAGGGATCTGAAAATAACAATGATGGTAATCTCTGGGTACTGATAGTATAGGTAATTATTTTCAATTTTCTGTACCTTTAAATTTTTCAATAAACATGAAAGTAATAAAAATTCTCAAATGTAAAAATTATGCCCTCTCACTTAGTAATTGCTCTTCTGAAAATTACTAGCAACTCTTTCTCCCTAAAAACACTTAAAGTGCAGACTTACATAAGCAATTGTATTCCCTGTCAATTGCTGAAAACGGGACATGATAAAATATTCAGTAAGAGTCGTAAGTAAAATGGGTCAAGTACAAGGTAGAATACTAACCTACTAAAATGCTGTTATAAAGTTATATACGATAAACAAAATGTGTGGGCACAGACAAGGACTGTGTGCTGTCACGTATAAAAACCAATGCATTAAAAATATACCAAAAGACAACGTGACATGTTAAGAACAATGTATTCCCATTGTGGGGAAACAACATACTTTCAGTGTTATGCTCTCTTTTATTCTTAATATTTGCTGTACTAAACATTCTTTAATAGAAAACAGAGCACTTATAGGCAAGCACAAGTAATTCTCCTAGAATTTTATTTAGACAACCCCCCTAAAAAAGCAAAAACAACCCCCCCAACTAACTATGCAGCTAACAAGAAGGGAAAAGTTGCTTCCTAATGAAATATTTATAAACCACTACTCACGGACATTCATAGAACAGAAAACTAGCAACCACTATTACCCAAAATAGTTTAATAGCCTAAATGGTGTTATTCTTTTCCCATTGTGCTAATTTTACAAAATTAGCCTCTGTAATTCATAAACCAGCTCTGCAAAGAGTTTATGAAGTATTCTGTTAGGAAGCTGGATTCTGCCTCCTCCTTGCCTTTCCTTTTATGCGGAAAATTTACACAGAGATCTAGCACATGAATACTGCTTCAGATGACGTAATTATATTTCTTGGTATTAGGCCATTTGATAGATTCGACCAAAATTAATATCTCTTTTGTATACTATTTTTTTCTTAAAAGGGAAACAGAATTCTCCCAAGCACTACAAAAATATATCTTATTTTTCATGAGCGACATGGAACAGAAGATGGAGACGAGCCAATTAAAAATAAAAGTATTCATAGCTTGAATGTTTAAATTAAGCCCTAAGATTTGTCTGGGGGAGTCAAGATTGTCAGAAAATACAGACACTTGCTGCCAACCCTGATTATCAGAGTTTGATCTGTAGCACCCACTTGGCTGAAGGAGAGAACCAGTTCCTGCAAGATGTCCTTTAACCAACACACTCATGCTCATGCACACATACACACATAATAAAAATGATTCTATTTTTTAAATGGCTCAGCATCACACTTAAAGAAAAGATCTTCAAGTTCTAAAACACATAAACCTACAATTTTAAAATGCAGTAGTTTCCATAAGCAATAAATATAATCATATTTTGCTAATGGTTTTCTTTAAAGTATATTAACTGTTCTCACTGTAACTATATATTAAGCAATCAGAATCTAAAATAATGTAAGAGTCGAAATTTTCACTACTTTATTTGTAGTTTACATGGTGGTTCTATTTATCAAAGATGAAAACAAATGTTACACTTTTAGAAACTGATTCCTTACTCTTACTAAAGAAGTCTTTATGTAATTTCCCTATAAAAATTCACAGAACCACTTTTCAAACTGACATCCACAAAGACTTGTCCATACAGTAACTGCTAGATCCTTTGACCTTTCTGTGCCTTAGTACTGGCAATCGCAAAATTCACAAAACTCGCATACTCTCATTGTAAAACAGAAAAGCTCGAGGGAAGAGGAATCTCTAGGCTAAACTTTTAGCTTTTCACATATTTTCATACACATACGCACTACACTCACACTTTAGGATCTGCAAGCTTGGTCATGATCTGACAGGTGTCTTCAATCACAAATGTAACTGACCTGGCAGTCACCGGCAGTGTTACTCCACAGTGCCCCCTAGCAGACTTCCTAAGAAATACCAGTTTGAAAGGGACACCACCAGAATTGTGACTCTCCGGGGAAAGTGGCAGTTACCGTGAGCACTTAAGCAGCTCGCTTATACCAATTTAACTAAACTCCATCTGACAAATAACAGCTGACCACTAAATATCGCTAATAAGAAAAAATTGTATAAACTGTTGGATTTGGTATCTAACTATACAACAATATAACCAAAACTTTCCCAGACACTCTGTAATGTGCCACTTTTGACAGTCATGGAAAAAAGACTCATAAAGATACCCATTTAAGATGTTTCCTTTTATTTATCATAGAAGCAAAGGTATAACAATTTGACCATAGCTCTTTACAAGCACGAGACAACTTTATTCATGAAAAAAGTACCAGGATCATATTAAGCTATGCAAAAATTCGGTAATGTCAACATACTCATATTATCATCATAAACAATCTAGGTTCATAACAATGGCAAATTTGTGAAAGGAAAATTTTGACCTTGGTACTGATGCCCTAAAGAAGTCAAATTTAGGTGGTGTGTGAGGGATCCGTGAGGCAAAACAAAAAGCGAAGACATGTCAGACATATCCTCCTTATTATGAAAACGGACACGAAGCAAAACTTCTAAGTACAACTTAGAAGAAAACACTCAGGCTTTTAAATGCCCTTCACCTTATGTAAGTCATCCTGGGAGGGAAAAAGTTCTACCTTCGAAGGCTAGAATATTCTTAAGAACGTACTAAGGAAAAAACCCGGGTGAGATGAAATCTGGGGAGAGAAACTGAAAACCGGTGAAACTCCAGTGGCAATCACAAGGCAGAATATCGAGTACGTCAAAACCACTAGGTTGTAGTCTAAAAAAACGTTTTTGTTTCGATCGTTTTTCCCCAAGGTATTTAATTTGCACGTCTTAAAATAGAGACCCCGTGGAGAGCAGCTTGAGGCAATGGAAGGAAGGGGGTGGGCTAGGTAAGAACAGAGACTTGCGGAGAAAATATGTGCGGTGCTTTAGGATGTACCATGGAGGGGGGATGCAGGAGTCACGGAAAGGGAGCAGTTGAGGGCTTTCTGAGTAGTCAAACTGATGTGGCTTAAGGAATGCGTGCTTTGGAGCCAAAACGCACACCTGATAAAGGGACAACCAACCCCAGAAGACTGTGCAGAACCGCGATGACCATTTTTAACCAGTTCTATTGTCTGGAGTATTAGATATATCTCCGGCAAGAGATCAAGCCAGGCAGGCACCCAATCAGAGACCCTGCGGGCCCAAAGCAGAGAAAACGGACAGCGGTCCGTTCGCACCGGTCGGGTCCGCGGCACCCCCTCCTCGCCCAGCAGCGAGGGACTCCTGGTGGGGCCACGCTCCGCGTCCGCCAAGTCTGGGAACTGCCGGTCGGTCCCCTTCTCCCGCCGGCGACGTTGGTCCCCGCGCGGCCCCGGAGCACCGAGACTTCCCCTCCCACCCCACCCCCAGCCGAAAGCCGGGAAGACGCGGAACTTGGGGCTTGGGAGCCGAGGCCACAGACCAGGTCCCCGGGTGGGAGACTCGGAACGGAAGCCTGTGTGGCTTCCCAGGGACAACCCCCCTCCCCCGAGCTGCACCCCGAGGTCCCCGCAGTGCCAGGCCCGCCGTCCCCCTCCCAGAGCGCAACCACGCCACGCTCCCGCCGAACCCCGGTGGTGCCGCACCTCCGTCTTGGTGATCCGGTGCCGCCCCAGCTTCACCACAGCGAAGTTGCCCTTGCCCAGCGTGCCCTCGATGTCGTAGAACCCCACCCGGACCGGCCCGCGCTGCAAGTGCCTCGGGCCATCCGCCATGACCATGCTGGGCCCCCGCTGCAGGACACGGCAACTGGAGCGCGAACGAGCGGGCCGGCGTGAAGCGGCGCGGAGCGGGCAGGAGGGCGGCGGGCGGCGCGGCTAGGCTCTGGGCGACGGCCGCCGTTCTCGCTCCGGCGCTGCTTCCCTCCCGCCCCACAGGGCCCAGCCAGGCGCGCGCCGGCGCTGACGTGCGCCGACGTCAGGGGGCCGGGGCAGGGGGCGGGGGCGGGCCTCCACCGGTCACCATGGCTACGGCAGCAGCGCCGACGTCGGCGGCCGGGAGGGAGAGGCGGCGCGCGGCTCGGGCTGGCATGGTGCTTCCGGCCGCGGCGCCTTCTTCAGCCTACTCCGGCCTCGCGGCGGCCGGGGGCGGGTTCGCCGTCCGCTCCACCCCGTTCCAAACGCCTGCCTCACTGCAGAAGGGCAAGAGCGAGCCCTGGTGGGCCGCGCGGAGGGTGCACCGTGCCGCCCGCGCGTCGCCTGTAGGGACGCCCGGCGTTCCCCGCCCGCCCGCGGCCTTTCCCGCCAAAACTTCGCCTGCAGGACTCTGCTGCGCTAAACTGGGAACCGAGGAGCTCCGAGGCTGAGCAACGCGTTGCTCACAGCCTCGTTCCTTTGTGTTCTTTCTAGCCCCCTTCTTGTTACTATGTACGTCTCTGCACTTTTTGACGTCTGTGAGGATCCCTACTCACAGCAGTCCATCACTCACAAAATAATGTCAGCTCTGAAGAGACCCTAGAAATGACTTAAATCTGGAATTCGAAATTGCCCATGGGCTTCGAAGCCTGGAAGCCCTGAAATGTAGGCACAGTGTTTTACTTATTTGAGCGTGTTCCTGGGGAGAGGTGTCCATATCTTCTGTCATACTTCCTCAAACTATTTGGGAATTTGTAAACACTTAAAAACCGTCCAATTTGCTGGGCGGTGGTGGCGCACGCCTTTAATCCCAGCACTTGGGAGGCAGAGGCAGGCGAATCTCTGGGAGTTCGAGGCCAACCTGGTCTACAAAGGGAGTTCCAGGACAGGCTCCAAAGCTACAGAGAAACCCTGTCTCGAAAACAAAACAAAACAAAACAAACCGTCCAATTTATTTCCAGATGATGCAGCAGGCTGCTAGAATGAAGCAAGTTGCCACCGTCACACAGGTAATGCTAAAATTCTAATTATCAATCATCACACCAGTCTTCCATATGGTGACCTAAGTAACAGCAACATTTTAATATCTTGAAATATATTACATACATCCAGACGTTGGTTCCCGGGTACCCATTCTCTATTAAAAGGAGCCCAGTTCGTTGGGAGTAATGACGCAGTCCAAGGCAGGCGGGGAAAGTGTACGATGCCCTTGAAAGAACTTACACGAGTAAGCAAGGAGAGTTCTTAAATACAGCAGGAAGAACGTGGCAAAAGAGAATACAGCTGAAGGGACCCACCGTTGCCAGTCTGAGACAAACTGAGCATCAGAAACAAACACTTTGGAAATACATTACAACACGTATTACATTTTATTTATTTTGTTTAGAGGTCAGAGGACAGACTGTGGGAGGTGGTTCTCGATTTCCACTATATATCATGGGGAATTGAACTCAAGTGGTCAGGCTTGCTGCAGGTGCCTTTGTCATCTCTTGGGCTCTACATTGTGTGTGTGTGTGTGTTTTGGGGGGTTGTTTGTTTGCTTGCTTTGAGATAGTGTCTCACTATGTAGCCTTGAAGTCATTTAGGACTTGAAATGTAGAACAGGCTGGCTCATACTTAACAAAGATCTGTCTCCTGAGTGCTGAGATAGAAATTTGGCATATGTGATAAGCCCCGCGAAGTGTCTATTCCCTCTCCTCTCCCCTCCCCTCCCCTCCCCTC